CCAGGAGAGCCCATTAGCTCAGTGCAGTGGGGGGAGAGGGAGAACCCGGGACAGCTCAATCCAGGCGGGAGGGGAACCTGGGAAAGCCCATTAGCTCAGTGCAGACCGGGGGAGTTATTGGGGACACAGGAGCCCACTGACCCAACGAGGGAGGGGGTTCTTGCTGGAAGGGCCCATTACAGTGATGGGGAAAGCCCTGGAAGAGCCCCAGCTCGTGGGGGAAGGGGAGAAGGAGGTGACTCACCCTGAACCGGCGGTAGGGGCTGAACAGCCGGACCGGGCGCCCCACGCAGCGCTCGAAGAAGGGATGCTGCAGGGCCTGCTCCGCCGTTAGCCGCTCCGACGGCTCCACACGCAGCAGCCGCGAGATCTGCAGGGACAGGAGGAGTCAGAGGGGCCTGAGCCACTAGACCATGGGGTGCCGCGGGGGTGTGTGTGAAACTGTTCCATTCAGAGGGGGTGGGGAGAGGCTGATTGATCTGGGGATGGAGTTGGGGGGTTGTGACTGCAGGAGGAGGCTGATCCAATCTGGGATGGGGGGGAGGGGGGGGGCTCCTCCTCTCACCAGGTCCTTGACAGTGTCCGGGCGGCCATCCCACTCCGGAGAGCTGAACGGGTAGTGCCCCTCCATGATCATGCGCAGCATCAGCATCTGCTTGCGGTGCCAGAACGGGGGCGAGCCAGCCAGCAGGGAGAAGAAGATCACACCACATGCCCACCTGCGGGGAGGAGAGGTGAGGGGGAGGTCACACTGTGGTTCCATGAGCCAGACCTAGGGCAGGCAGTGCCACTGGGAGGGGGACAGATAGACAGGGAAAGATGGACAGACACAGACCAATGGGTGGGGATGGATGGACAGACGGATCCTTGGCCTGGAACCACGGACACTACTCAGCCATCACGACTCTGCAGGGAGGGGGCAGAGGGTGGAGCCAGGAATGGGATCGGGAGGGGGGGGAATCATCAGCAAGAGGGGCCAATGGCCACTGGGTGGGGAGCTAGGACCTTCCCCCCACCAGCTGGCAGACAGGGCAACATCCCCCGCACCCTTTCAGGCCAGACCCATCACTTGCCAGGTGGGACCATGTGGACAGGGCTGGAACACAGACAAAATGGGGCGGGAGGGGTCAGGTCATTCCAACTGGACCCATCAGGGTGCTGGTGCTGGGTGTGGGCAGGGGGGCGAGGAAGCCGCTAGCTAGGGAAATGGTCAGGATCCCCCCCCACCGCCCCTCCTGCACACAGGGTGGGTGGCCAGCAGGGGACACATGGGGGGTGTCTAAGAGCCATGATGGGAACTGAGGTAGGTGGGACAAACCCACCCGCTCCCCACCACCCCCTCAACCCCAGGAATGAGCCCTCCCTGCCACCCCTCTCCCCCCGCCCCGGAATGAGCCCTTCTCCCCACAGCCCAGCAGTGGCTGCTAAAACAGGGACTCACAGGTCCACTTCCTGGCCGTAGCCCGGGTGCGTCTCATCCATGGAGCACTTGAGGATCTCTGGGGCTAGGTACCCGGGGGTCCCGCACAGCTCTGGGGTGGGGAAGGGGGAAGAGACACACCCGGGCATGAATGAGCAGGGACAAACAGTGCCCTCCAATTCCCTCCCGGATCAGCCCCATGGATCAGCCACACCTGCCCCTGCCCCCACCCCCCCCACCCATTGAAGCAGTCCCCAGCAGCCTCCCCTCCTGCCCAGCCATGTCCTCCCTTCCCCCACCCCTGGCTCCCCCCCCACCCCCAGCCACCCCCCCAGATTGGAGTATGTGCCCCCCTCCACCCCCCCCCCCCCATCAGTCAGCCCCTTGGCCTCTTCCCTCCCCACGCCCCCGGATTGACCCAGCTAGCTCAGCCCTCCCACTGACCATAGATCAGCTTGGCCTCCCTCCTGTCCTCCCCCGAGGCCCCTCCCGCCCAGCCCACTCTGACCCCGCAGTTTCTGTCCTGGCTCCAGCCGGCAGGAGAAGCCGAAGTCGGAGAGCTTTATATTGAGCTGATCGTCCATGAGGATGTTCTCGGGCTTCAGGTCACGGTGGATGATGTGGCTGGCATGCAAGTAGCTCACCGCCTCCAGCAGCGCTCGCATGATGCACCTGGAGGGCGTGAGGAAAAGAGAGAAACAGACGCCTGCAGCCACGGCCTCACCCAACAGGGGGCACTGTGGGGAGCAGGGCAGGAGCGCTGACTGTGGGGGAGCTCCCGGCTACTCCAGCCCCAGCTTCCGCCAGCAGGGGGCGCTGTACAGTACCTGGTCTCCTTCTCACTCAGGGTCACTTTCTCCGTCAGGTAGTCAAAGAGCTCCCCACGCCGCATCCTGGGGAGAGAAGGGGGTTGTCAGCCAGCTGGGAGGTGGGCGGGGGAGAATTGGCCCTGGTGGAGTGACAGGGCAGATTGGGGGCGATCAGCCCTGGTGGGTTCCCCTCCCGCCTGCATGGGAAATCATCCCAGGGAGCGGATGGAGTGGGAGGGAGCCCAGTCAGGCAGTTCAGGATCTGGGGGCACCACCTCTGCTGACCCATGAGCACAGGCGCCCCATACCTCAGCAACCCTGGGGTCTGCAGGAGGCTGGCTGGCTCCATTCCTGGCGTGAGAGCCCCAGGACATGGGGGGCCCCTGCAGGGAGCGTGCCAGGGGGCCCCTGCGGTGTGGCAGACCCCTGCAGGGGAGGTGGGGGGGGTCACTTGTGGCAGGGTCCTGGTGGGAGAAGTGGGGGCTGGGTGCAGGGATCTCATACTCACAGATCAAACACCAGGAACATGAATGTGGACGACTCGTAGGAATCGATGAGTGTGACTGTGGGGAGAAAGAGGAGTGAGAGGATGGGGGGTACAGCGGCGCACTCCTTGTGTCAGGGGTGGGACTTTCTGCCAGAGGGGTGTCCAGGAGATTTTGGGGGAGGGGGTCACTGGGTATATGGGCGCTGCAAACAAGGTGTGTTCTTAACTGGGGTTAAACTAGCAGTGAAGCCAGTGTGACTTGGGTTAGCAGGGGGAAACTGACACCAGCCGTCTAGACTTCAAAGCACCGCTGGCTGGAAACGGACAGGGAGAGGTTACCCTCGGTTTGTTTTCTGTCTGCTTATCTCGGGTCAGGGAAACGGAAACAGTAAAGCATCAAAATGAGCAACAGCGAAACAACTGCAAAGCCAGAGCTGGCCAGCCTGGAAGCCGAAGAAAGCGACAGAGAACGTGAGCCAACGGCAAGCAGAGCTGAGGATCGAGGCGAAGGACGATGCCTAGTGGCAAACCCTAGAAGGTGAGAAGCAAAGAAGAGCGAGAAGCAGCAGCTCATAAATGAGCTGCGGAGCGGAGAGAGAAAGAGATCCAAGAAGGGGAGCAGCGGATGTAAAACCTGGACAGATCCCAGAGTCCCCAATCTCTCCCTCCACTCAAGGAACCCTTAGCTCAGAAAAGTTGTATCCTGTGGACACGGAATCAGCCGGAACTAAAGAATCAGCCGGCACTAAAGAATATCTTTTGAGCGGCTCTGTGAGATTCACAATATTCCTGAGGACAAGAACGTCCCCACCCTGATTACCAGACAGTTTTGCAAAGCTTTGAATGTGTTTAATGAAATGCTGCTTCAGGAAGCTTTGCTAGCCCGTATCCTGCATTTCAAAACGCTGTTTTACAAAGGTTTCCAGGTACCCCTGAAGCGTATAGGTTGAAATTTAGAAATCTCTGGAAAGACGCTGGCCTGAGTCATAGCGAATACGCTTATAAGACGTGTGACCACAAGGAAATGGATAAAGGGCAAGAGGGCTGAGGATTATGACCGACGGTTTGATCTCTTTGCTCTAGAGCATTTCTTGCGTATGTGCACTGACAACGGTAGGAACAGTCTGTGGGATAAATCTTTACAATCTGTGGAAGAGATGGCCACTCTGGCTGACTCCTTTGTGCAAGCCCAGATGTCCAATGAGTGCAAGCCGCAGAAGGAGGGACCCAACCCCAGCGTAAAAGGGGATCCCATTTTACCCCAGGAAGAAGGAGATCTAAGGACTCACCGCTGCAGAATCATTCCCCTCCTGAAAATCCTCATCACAAACCTCCTGGGAAAGAGGAGGATCCCAGTCGGTGTTTCCAATGTAACTCCACTGACCACCTGAGAAATCAATGGCCTGGGCTAAAAGAAACCAAGCCCCAGCCAACCCACGTTAACGCAGCTGTCTCCAGAGCTACCCCCAGGCTACAAACGGTGAGTTTTGTGAGGACTGACCTGGAGGGGGGAGCTATGGAATTTATTAAGGCTGCCAGAGTAAATACCAAGGAGTTCATGGCATGGAGACACACCGGAGCCCGGATCTCTCTGGCCAAGGGAAGCATGGACCAAAAGACTGGCATGTTACCTGGCCAAAAGGTGGAGTGTCCTGCTGTGGGAGGATATTCCTGTACCTTTAGCCAAGGTGCACGTGGACTGGGAAGGTTTGGAAGGGGTCTTGACGTTGGGGTGCTGGATCGTATCCCCCTGGAAATGCTTGTTGGGAAGGATATTTTGTGTCCGGCTAGGGCTATTCATGTGGTAACATGTAGCAAAAGGGAATCTTATGCTGGGATCCCAGAGGAGAGTGGTACAGTCCCAGAGACTGCTGAGGGGCGTCTCTCTAGCTCCTCTGCACCAGAAAGAAACAGCGTGTTTCCAGATGTGGGAAGGGGCGGAGGCTGTGTCCTGCACGGCAGAGAAAAGCAGCATGCCCTCGGGCTGGGCGGGCGGGCGCGAGGGGAGAAGAGATGAGCGAATTAGTGCAATACCTGCTGGTCAAGGATCAGAAGAAAATCCCCATCCAACGGGCAGGTAAGAGGCCTGCTAGATGGTCATGGACTTTCCGGGGGAGGTTCTGCAGTCCCCCTCACATTAGCAGAGGGGCTCCCTCAGGCCACTTCTATTCCCCACTCGGTCTGAACCCAGATCTCTGAGGCAGAAGAGCCAGGACTCAGCCATTCGGCCACAGTGCCTTTCTCTAGCCTCCCCCCACTTCCCAGAGCTAGTGATAGGACCCAGGAGTCCTGACTCACAGCCTCCTCTGCTCTGACCCATTAGACCCCACTCCCTTCTCAGAGCTAGGGATGGAAACCAGGAGTCCCGGCTTCCAGCGGTCCCTGCTCTGACCACTGGACCCCACTCCCCTCACAGGCGGGGACAGAACCCAGGAGTCCTCGTTTCCCAATCCCCTTCGTATGGCTCACCAATAATGTTTGAAACTTTCAGAGACTCAACTTAGATCCCCATGGTGCAGGCTGTGGGATCCCCGGGAGGGGTACCTGATGAGGAGGGGAATATAGCTGAAACAGTCATAAAAAAGTTACAACTCCAGACCTGTGGGTTCTACTTCTGGTTCAAGTTGCAGTGGGGGAGGTCTAGGTTGGATATTAGGAAAAACTTTTTCACTAGGAGGGTGGTGAAGCACTGGAATGAGTTACCTAGGGAGGTGGTGGAATCTCCTTCCTTAGAGGTTTTTAAGGTCAGGCTTGACAAAGCCCTGGCTGGGATGATTTAGTTGGGGATTGGTCCTGCTTTGAGCAGGGGGTTGGACTAGATGACCTCCTGAGGTCCCTTCCAACCCTGATATTCTATGAGATGAGCCCTGTGACTGAAGACGCTGTCCCAGATATCAGATGCCAGTGTTTTGCAGCTGAACAAAGGATGGACCCCACTCTAGAAAGCATAAGAGAGTGTGTCCTAGTGGGGGCTCCCAAGAAGGGAAGATGGGGAGAGGGTTTTTTGAAGAAGATGGGAGATTGCATAAAGAAGCTCCATTGACAAAAAACCAAAAGCCATGGGCGCCCCTCTACCCAGTTGGTTGTGCCCGCCCAGCACTGTGGGGAATTCATGTTGTTAGTACATGATTGACCTTTTGCTGATCACTTGGGGGCACACGGAACCGGAGACAGGTTAAAGGAAAATGTCTGCTGGCCAGGGAAACAGAATGATGCGAGGAATTATTGCAGGAGACCTGCAGGACCCCAGACAGTTCCTCTACACCCCTTGCCTGTGATACAAGAGGCATGTCTGAGGGTAGCAATGGACATTGTGGGTCCTATGCCCACGTCCTACCAAAAGGGGGAAGAAATTATTTTGGTGGTGGTGAATTTGCCACTAGGTATCCTGAGGCTGTAACTTTGACTAACACGGAGACAGAGGAAGAGCCAGTAACTGAATACGTACAAAGGTTAAAAAAGGAGTTAGAAGACATGATGGGTGGTAAATGAAGATACACATCATGTTAGAAAGCCTCATGGTAATGTTGTCCCACAACTAGTCCATGTGACCAGACTTAGAACCTATCACAGCAGGGAAGCCATGGTGAACATGAGCCACTGTGTAGAGGGAGAAACTGAAGCACATCACCTCATGGGGATTGGTCCTGCTTTGAGCAGGGGGTTGGACTAAATGACCTCCTGAGGTCCCTTCCAACCCTGATATTCTATGATTCTATGATTCATTGAATGGCTGAATTCCAAACTGACTCAGCCCCGGAAAGCATCAATATCTGCAGTGCGTTACCACCAGCTGAAAGGGCAGAGGTGTTGTCTGTGTTGCAAGAACACAAAGAAGTGTTTTCTCACGAGCCAGGGAAGACACACTCGCTAACTCATAAGATCATTACAGAATGGCCACAGTCACCTCCCAGCAGACCCTCCAGGGCTACTGGCAAGATGCAGGAACAAATTCAAACAGCAATACAAAACATGTTAGACCTGGGAGTACTTAAAGAGTCTGACAGCTCTTGGGCGTCACCTGTGGTCTTGATCTCTAAGAAATAAAACACTGTACGGTTTTGTGTTGATTATAGAAAACTCAATGGTGTTACAGTACCAGCTGCGTATCCCATGCCTAGAATTGATGATATAATGCACATTTTAAGCAAAGCTAAATATCTCCACTCTTGATTTAACTCGAGGTTATTGGCAGATTCCTTTAGATACGGGTGCTCAGAAAAAAAAAAATCTGCTTTCATCACTAATATGGGACTCTGAGTTCATAATGGCACCTTAGAGACTAAAATTTATTTGGGCATAAGCTTTCGTGGGCTAGAACCCACTTCATCAGATGCATGGAGTGGAAAATACAGGAGGCAGGTATAAATATACAGCACATGGAAAGATGGGAGTTGCCTTACCAAGTGCGGGGTTAGTGCTAACAAGGCCAATTCAATTAGGGTGGATGTGGCCCATTTCCAACAGTTGACAAGGTGTGAGTATCAACAGAGGGAAGATTATTTTTTGTAGTGACCCAGCCACTCCCAGTCTTTATTCAGGCCTAATTTGATGGTGTCCAGTTTCCAAATTAATTCCAGTTCTGCAGTTTTCGTTGGAGTCTGTTTTTGTTGTTGAAAAATTGCCACTTTTAAGTCTGTTATTGATTGTCCAGGGAGGTTGAAGTGTTCTCCTACTGATTTTTGAATGTTACAATTCTTGACGTCTGATTTGTGTCCTTTTATCCTTTTGCGTAGAGACTGTCTGGTTTGGCCAATGTACACGGCAGGGGGGCGTTGCTGGCACATGATGGCATATATCACATTGGTACATGTGCAGGTGAACGAGCCCCTGATGGTGTGGCTGGGTCCTATGATGGTGTCCCTTGAATAGATATGCAGACAGAGTTGGCAACGGAGTTTGTTGCAGGAACTGGTTCCTTTCCACCTGCTTACTGTATTTCCCACTCCATGCATCTGATGAAGTGGGTTCTAGCCCACGAAAACTTATGCCCAAATAAATGTGTGAGTCTCCAAGGTGCCACGAGGACTCCTCGTTGTTTTTACTGATACAGACTAACACGGCTGTCCCTCTGAAACCTGAGTTCATAATGGTACCATTTGGGTTGATGGATGCTGGAACCAACTTTCAGAGGCCGGTCAACCAAGTGTTAACATAGGCCCTTGCAGAATTCTGCAAACCATTTAAGGCCATCACAGTGTTGAGCAACACTTGGGCTGATCACAAAAAACTCTCAGAAGTTGTGCTGTCAAAGCTCAAAGAGTCAGGCCTAACCATAAAAGCCTCTAAGTGTAAAATTGGAGCAGCCAAAGTTCCTTATTTGGAACACTGGGAAGGGGGAAGGTCACATATCCCCTTAAAAGTTGAAGCCACTGGAAACTGGCGTGTACCTCAAACCAAAAAACAGACCCAAACTTTCATAGGTCTGGTAAACTATTACTTGAGGTTTGTGCGTGGGTTCAGCGCCATTGTATCTGCAATCCCAGACCTATGTAAAAACAAATAAACCTAACGCAGTCGTGTGGACGAAGGCACGTCAAGAGGGCTTTGATAAGGTGAAGAAAATCTTGTCCGAAAAAGCCTGTTCTAGCTAGTCCAGATTTTGACAAAAATGTTTGAACTCTGTACAGGTGCATCAGACATTGGTCTAGGCTCTGTGCTGATCCACATGGGGGAAAAAACATCAACACACATCCCATCACCTTCTTCAGCAAACAATTGACACCCACCAACAAAATTATTCTGTCATAGAAAAAGAACGTTATGCTACAGTGTAGGCCCTTAATTGCTTGACTGCCTATCTCATTAACAGAAAATTCAGGGTATTGATGGATCATTCACCATTAATCTGGTTAAAAAAAACTAAAGGCTCAAATTTCCAAGCTTCTTTGTTGGAGTCTTATACTCCAAGAATTTGATATGGAAATTGTACCTATAAAGGGAAAGGAAAACATGGTGGAAGATCCCCTATCCAGGAAAGAGGGCCCTCACCTGCTGCCTCCAGGTCAGCCAGTGGCTAATCTCACCGCAGCTCTGTAAAGGGGGAGGTGTGACAGAATGTACTTCTGTAGTCACACCCTACACACTATTGTCATAATCTTTGTAAAAAGTACACCCTGTAAGGGATCATTTGAAAACTCGTAATTTGCTAATCATTGTCGTCCTGATAAAATGTGTATGGAAATATTGTACGTGAAGTTAGGGGGGAGGGATGGCTCAGTGGTTTGAGCATTGGCCTGCTAAACCCAGGGTTGTGAGCTCAATCCTTAAGAGGGCCATTTAGGGATCTGGGGCAAAAATCTGTCTGGGGATTGGTCCTGCTTTGAGCAGGGGATTGGACTAGATGACCTTCTGAGGTCCCTTCCAACCCTGATATCTATGATTCTCTGCTATTCTAAGTTATAACATTCCTCTGTATGGTGTTATTAATGCATGTTCCAAACCGAGGTTGGCAAACAGGTCTATCACAAACAAAGGAAAGGGTGCTCGACTTAATTTGCATTTAAGCAGTAAACAGAGTCATCAAGCAGGAAGGGAAACAAAGGAAGCTCAAACAGGTGAGAAAAAAGCAGCAGGGAACATCCTTCCACACAGACTTTTTGTCTCTTTGAACCAAGCTTGAAATGTTTTTCAAAAGAGCGACTGAAACTACAAAAAGGAGGGACAAACACCCCAAGACATCTCTCTCTCTCTGCCCATCGATTCTCTGCACCTAAAGGGACAAAGGAAGCAGCCATTGGACTGCAGAAGGGGTCCTAAGCTAAGAAGTTTGCTCAAACTGCTGAGCGCACGTGGTCAGAAAACTAACTGTTAAATTCAAAGCAAGGTTAAGTTAGGCTCCAGTTGCATTTTATCTTTATTTTTCTTGTAAGCATTTCTGACTTTTATGCCTCATTACTTGTACTCACTTAAAATCAATAACAAAAACAACCACAAGTTTAATAAGTACAAAGAGAGAGATTTTATCTAATCCAGTATGTTTAAAGTGAAGTATCTGGGAAACTCCACTGGGGTGGGCAAGTTGTGTGCATTATTCCTATTAAAGAAATAATGGACTTAATGTAACTTGTATTGTCCAGGAGAGGGTTGGGCACAACAGGACATACATTTCTGGGGGAGAAATCTTAAAACTGGGGGTGTGTTGGGGGTCACCCTGCAGTATAACCCAGGCTGGTGAGAGCCAGAGTGTAACCCAGGTGTGGCTGGCAGGCTGCTGCTGCACACAGACACACAGGGTGTGACTTGCATGCTGTTTGTGAGCAGCCCAGGTGGCAGGCACTTCAGCAAGGTTGCAGGAAGGAGTGACACAGCTGTTCATTAGTCTGGACTGCATCCTGGTATGTGACAGGGGGTAGTACCAGGGGTGGGACCTCCTGTCATAGGGGTGCCCAGGAAAGCTGGAGGGTGTCACTGGGTAGAGAGGCACAGCAAAAAGGCGTGTTCTTCACTGGGGTTAAACTAGCAGTGAAGACAGAGTGACTTGGGTTAGCAGGGGGAAAATCAACTCCAGTCCTCTAGGCTTCAACCTGAGCTGTTAAAACTTCACCTCTACTTCACAGCTCCCTGGGTGCAAGCAGCGATGTGTGTTTCACTAGTCAAATGTACATCTGGGAACAAAGAATGTCGGCCATGCTACAGGATGGGTGACTCCGTCCTGAGAAGCAAGTGACTCTGAAAAAGATTTGGGGGCCATGATGGATAATCAGCTGATCATGAGCTCCCAGTGCGATCCAGCAGTGAAAGGTCTAACACGATCCAACGGCTGGAAACTGAAGCTAGGCAAATTCAGCTTGGAAATAAAGCGGACATGTTTAACAGTGAGCGTAATTCACCATTAGAACGAATCACCAAAATTCACAGGGGATTTGCCGTCACTGGCAAATTTAAATCAAGACTGGATGTTTTTTTTAAAACACCCACTCTGCTCCATAAGGAATAACTCAGGGAAGCTCTCTGGCCTGTGTTATACAAGAGATCAGACTAGATCATCCCAATGGTCCATTCTAGCTTTGGAATCCATGCACTCAAGACCACCCCTGTTTTTTGCAGTGTAAACATACCCACTTACTGACATGGGGTGTCCCAGGGGGATGGAGGGTGTCACTCACTGATGTAGGGGTGCCCTGCCACCTGACGCAGGATGGCAATCTCCTTGCCCGTGGAGGTCCGCACCTCCTCCAGCTGCTGCGGGGTCATGCGCTCCGAGGTCACCTCGATGATCTTCACCGCAAACTCCTGCCCCGTCTGCTTGTGCACACATCGCCGCACCACGCTGCTCACGCCCCTGCCACGGACAGACCAACCGACACCACCGTGAGACAGACAGACACCCACAGCCCTCCACACCCTGTCCATTCATATGTTCCAAGTCCAGACGGAACCACTGTGATCATCTCGTTCCAATGGCTAATGACTTTCACTGTTAAATGTTTACAAATTCAGATTACAGATAAGATGTAGAGTTTCAACTTCCAGCTGTTGGATCGTGTTAGATCTTTCTCTGCTAGACTGAAGAGCCCATCATCCAATTTTGTTCCCCGCATAGATACTTATAGACTGTGATCAAGTCACCCCCAACCTTCTCTTTCTTACGCTAAATAGACTGAGCTCCCTGAGTCTATCAGTATTAGGCAGGTTTTCCAATCCTTTGATCATTCACGTGGCTCTTCTCTAACCTCTCCAGTTTATCAACATCACCTGCTCACCCACCTGCCACAGACAGGCACCCCAGTGAGACAGACAGACTGACACCCACAGCCCCTC